AATCGCAAACGCAGCACCGCTATTTAAGAAGGAACTGAACCAGAAGATGGGGAACTATAGACCAGTCAGTCTGACAGTGGAGGGGAAAATTCTAGAATCCTTAATTAGGGAAGTCGTAGTGGGGCACTTGGAAGACCATAACATGGTTAGGCCGAGTCGTCAAAGGTTTACAAAAGGGAAGTCACACTAACAAATCTTTTAGAGTTCTTTGAGGATGTAACTAGTAGGTTAGATAGGGGGGAACCAGGAGATGTAGTGTATTTAGGTTTTCAGAAGGCGTTCGACAAGTGCTACATAAAAGACTACTACACCAGATTAGGGCCCATGGAATTAAAGGCAATGTATTCGCATGGATTGAAGAGTGGCTAACGGGGAGGAAACAGAGAGTCGGGATAAACGGTCCTTCTCAGATTAGCGGAACGTGACTAGTGGAGTGCCACAAGGATCAGTGATTGGGCCTCAGCTATTTACAATCTACATCAATGCTCGAGACGAGGGCATAGAACTTAAACTATGTAAATTCATAGATGATCCTAAGCTCAGTGGGAGAGTAAGCTCAGAGGATGACACAAAAAGATCGCAAAGGGATATAGACAGGCGAGGTGAGTGGGCAAGAAGGGGGCAGATGGAATATAATGTGGGAAAGTCTGAAGTTATTCACCTTGGCAGGAAAAATAGAAAAGCAGATTATTTTCTAGAGGGGGAGAGGTGAGAAAGTGTCAGTGTTCAGAGGGATTTGGGTGTCCTTGTACACCAGTCACATAAAGTTAGTTTGCAGGTACAGCAAACAACCAGGAAGGCTAATGGCATATTGACATTTATTGCAAAAGGGTTAGAATACAAGAGGAGGGAAGTGTTGCTGCAATGGGCCTTGGTGAGACCGCACCTCGAATATTGTGTGCACTTTTGTTCCCCTTATTTAAGAAAGGACGTACTCGCCTTAGAGAGGGTGCAGCGGAGACTCACTTGGTTAGTTCCTGAGATGAGGGGTTTGACCTATGAGGATGGGTTGGGTAAACCAGGCCGACATTCTCTAGAATATAGAAGAATTAGGGGAGATCTTATAGAAACATATACGATTCTTATTGGGCTTGACAGAGTAGACAGTGAGAGACTGTTTCCCCCGGGAGGAGAATCTAGAACGAGGGGTCACAATCTGAAGATTAAGGCTCAGCCTTTTCGAACAGAGTTGAGGAAACACTTCTTCACTCAGAGGGCAGTGAATTTATAGAATTCTCCACCGCAGAAGCCTATAGATGGTCAGTCCTTGAACATATTCAAGATTAAGACTGATAGATTTCTAATGGATAGAGGGATTAAGGATATGGGGATAAGGCGGCAGATGGAGTTAGGTTAGAAGATCAGCCATGATCTTATTGAATGGCGGGGCAGGCTCGAGGGGCCGAATGGCCTACTCCTGCTTCTAAGTCCTATGTTCCTATGTGTATGCGTGTGCATATGTGTGTGAGCTATGTGTGTGGTGTGTGTGATGTTTGTGTGCTGTGAGTGTATTGTGTGTGTGTGTGTGCATATGTATGTTTGCTGTGTGTGTGTGGTGTGTGCGCTGTTTGTGTGCTGTGAGTGTATTGTGTGTGGTGTGTGCTGTGTGTGCGAGTGCATGTGCATCTCTATGTGTGTGTATGTGTGCGTGTGATTTTATTGCACAGCTTCTGAGGTGAGGACACCAGACTGACCACCTCTGACATACCTGTTGCTTTCTGAGCACAGCTTAACAGCACCAGTCTCTCAGACTGATGTCGCTGTGGTAAAGGAGATGGAGAGGGGTTTGGGAAAGGAGGAAAAATAATAATAATATAATTGGAATCCTTGCATTTCATACAGCATCTGATCATAGGAACAGATAAACAGGAGAAGGCCATTCAGCCCCTTGAGCCTGTTCTGACATTCTATTAGATCTCGGCTCCTCTGTACCTCATCCAACAAACGTCTGTCCACCTCAGTCTTGACACTGTGAATTGTCACATCGTTGAGCCATTACAAAGCTGTAAAATGTAGTGACTATATAGTTTGTGGCCCAAATAATCTAAAATGCAAAATATTTTTTTAAAAATCTATGGTTCGTCCACAAAATTCACAGTTAATCCACTTTATAGTATATACCGTGAAGGGCTTTGAGATGCGATGACGTGATAAGGCGCTATAGCAAATGTAAGGATTGAGGATTAGGTTAAAGTCACTCTGAATTTGCCGGAAACTGTCTCATATTTTTCTTTGTGTAACTCGGGACTCCCCTTCTCTAAACAGTCATGTGCATTAATGTCAAAACAGATTTAGCTGCAGGAAATCCTTGCCAACAGTCTTGGTGTGTGGATGTGTCTCTGCTCACAACCGGTCTCCTGCAGCCTGGCTCAGCCGCACTCGCTCTCACCTCTCACCGTGTTAAAGTGTTAAATATCCCACAGACTATTGGAAAGAAGGGATTGTTGTCACCGCCGGGAGTCTGACACACACACAAACCCATCCAAAAGCCTCAGCGATGTGCATCTTCCTCAGTGTGAAGGACTAGGAGTTCAGGGTGACAGCGGCTGTGTTGGTTTCGGGCTCTGTACAAGTTGGTACATTGGCTGAGAGTGACACAACCCCTTATCACATCTTCAGACATCTCAAAACACTTCAATTGAAGTCATTCAATCCACGACTGTTTGTGGGACGCTGCTGTGTGCCATTGACGGCCCCCTCTCGACTCTCTTCCCCCTCCTCGCTCCCTCCCTTCCCTCCCCTCACCCTGACCATTTCCCCCCTCTCGCTCCCTCCCTTCCCTCCCCTCACCCTGACCATTTCCCCCTCCTCGCTCCCTCCCTTCCCTCCCTCACCCTGACCATTTCCCCCTCCTTGCTCCCTCCCTTCCCTCACCCTGACTATTTCCCCCCTCCTCGCTCCCTCCCCTCACCCTGACCATTTCCCCCCAATGCTCGGGTCATGACCCAACTGTGCAGCGCCTTGGGACGTCCTCCTGACGTGAAAGGCGCTTTATAAATGGAATCTTGTTGTTGTTGTTGTTGTTTTGCCCATAAAATACACAGGAACTACACTTTACAGTATACCCTGTGAAACGCTTTGAGACGTCTAGAAAATTTGATACGGCGCTATATGGAATGGAAGGATTATTAGTATTGTCGAAGGATAATGTGGACCTGAGCCGTGTCTTCATAAACAACCGAGCAAGTCAGGTGGCCGATGGTGGAAGTTTGCGGTGAGGTGTGAGCAGCCACATGTGGTCACAGAAATGCTGCTTTGGTGTTTTCTTTCCACAAACTGACAAACACTTTGAAGTTCATAGACGTGAAGCTGAACGAAGAAAGAACAGCGACCTGCGGAAGTGTCAGCCCGGTCTCTCTCTCTCTCTCTCTCTCTCCCGTCTGGGTCAGAGGTTGTGGGTTGAAGCTCCACATCAGGGTCTTCGAGATCAAGTTCTCAATTCATATCAATAACATACATTGCATTTAGTGCAGCGCCTTATCATGTTGTTGAGACATCACAGAGTATACTGTAAAGGGAATTGACGGTATATTTTGTGGACGAAACGTGGCCGCCAATCGCACACAGCAGCGTCCCATAAACAGCCATGGATTGAATGACCAAATAATAATAAGTTATTTTTGAAAGGGATTATTATTCCTCGAAAAGCTATCTGCCATTCGACTGATAACCGGGTTCCTACATACTGTTTGGTAACCAGAGACTTGTGGAATAAGGAAACGTACCTGAGGGTTCGCTCTGCCCGGGAATCAAACCCGGGTCCACTCACTTCAGAGGCGAACATTCTGACCACTGAGCGTCAGGAAAGTAAATGTGTTCCAAACAAACCCTTTGCCAAATTAAAACCCCAATAACTTTATTTAAAGGAATCCAAACATTAAAGAAAATAAAGTCTCTGGTTTGTGGCTCAATGAGCAGAAATCACAGACAATGGGAAAGACAAACTATAAATCCCACAAAGGAAACAACAGCACAGTGTCTGCGTTGGCCCTTTGTGAAAGCAGATCCCCTCAATAATAATAATAATAACAGTGATAATAATCCCTGCATTTGATATAGCACCTCATCACGTCATTGAGACATTTCAAAGCATTTCACAGGATAGACTGTAAGGGGAATTGACTGTATGTTGTGGCCGAAACATGGCGGCCAATTACACACAGCAGCGTCCCACAAACAGTCGGGGATTGAGTGACCAAATGATTATTTTTTTGTCCCTTTGTCTCCCCAAATCCACCAGCAGATCAGTCTGGAGAGGGCGGATTTGAGGCCCTTTCATCTTCTTCTCTGACACGGAGCAATAGTGCAAAAAATATCTGTGATGATTTCCTGTTGAGTTTGGTTCCTGAGGACTTTGCCAACTGAATGTCAGTCTGACTCAGTGGGTCGTGCTCTCGCCTCCGAGTCAGATGTTTTGTGGGTTCAAGCCTCCGTGTCTGGGTCTTTGAGCTCACAGTCGAGGCTGATGCTCCAGTGCAGTTTTGTGCGGAGAGAGAGCTCCACTTTGTCAGAGACACCGACCTTAAAGATCGGACGTTAAAAGATCCTGCGGTCACTGCTCGAAAAGACAAAAATGTTTTTCTCTCTCCCCGTGTCCTGGCGGGTAATTTGCTCACAGCACCATCTCCACAAACAGCCAAACTTTATGTAGGTGGGGGTCGGGGTGGGATTGGGGGTGGGGGTAGGGGGGTTGTGGGAGGGGAGTGGGGTGGTGGTGGGAGAGGGACTGTTGGTCAGGATACCAGGAGATAGAGAAACTCCCTTCATTTTCCAAGTTGCCCTGCAGGATCTTTAATGTCCACCTGAACAGGGCACAGTCGGGAGCTTGGTTTACCGTCTCATCTGAAGGATGGCGCCTCTGACAATGTGGAGCTCTCTCCTTAGACTGTGGGCTCAAAGTCCCTGAGTCAGGGTTTGATCCCAGAGCCTTCTGCTCTGGGCGCCCAGAGGAGCTCTCAATCCATGTCCCAGTTGCTCATTGGGTCCAAAAGACTGTTCCTCAGTGATGTCCATCTTCCTCAGTGTGAAGAATTCAGAGTTCCGGGTGAAAGTGGTTGTGTTCGGCTGAAAGTGGATGAGGAGGGATGGTGAATTTCAGGGAACACACTTTGGATTGAGATGAGTTCCTGATCTCACACCAGCACAGCCCTGAGGACTCCAATTTTTCATTAATTCGGTTCCTTCTATCTCCGTCTGGTTGTGGCACAGCATCTCTGCAACTCAACCCTGACCTGAGGACAAAACGATACCAATACCAGTGATAACAGACTCTGTCCTGTTTCCACACCTTAGCCCTAACTGTCCTGTGCCTCTGATCTCCGTGTGGCAGTCTGGCTCAGTTGGTAACAACCAATAATAATAATCATTGCATTTGATACAGCGCCTGATCATGTTGTCGAGAGGGATCAAAGCGCTTCACAGGATACACTGTAAAGTAAATTCTCTTTTAGTTCACTAAGTTTACATCCCTCAACTATCCTTTCTATCCCACATCTGCACCATGACCCGCTCTGCCTTCCACAACCTCTGACTCATCGACCATCTCCACCACTGTCTCAAACCACAGGCCACCGAAACCCTCATACAGGCTTCCACTACCTCAAGGGTTGACTATGCAAACTCATTGCTTGTCGGTCTCCCCAACTCCTCCCTCAATAGGCTGCACATCATCCAGAACTCTGCAGCTCGCGTCCTCTCCAGCACTAGGCTCTGTGACCCTATCCCCCCCATCCTCACCCAACTCCAGTGGCTTCTCAAACCCCTACCTCTGCGACCTTCTAAACTCCTACCATCCTGCTCGCTCCCTCCGCTCAGCGGTCTCTGGCCTGCTTCACGTCCCCTGCCTCGCTCGCCTGTTGTTGTTCTTGTTTATCTTGCAGTGTTAAATCATGGCAGTCTTATAAGGTTTATGTTTATTCTTCAAACAGAGAGAACATTCTGCGAACCTCGATGCTGTCAATTGTGTTTGTTATTTTAGAAACGGCAATGAAACCGTCCTCTGCTCTCAGGAACATAACCCCAGTCTACCCGCCACGCAGTGAGTGACCGAATTTATGTGGCCAGGGATTATCCAGGGATCTGGCCAGGGATTGTCAGCTGGGACACTGGGAGAGAGATCAGCGCCACAGGAACTTCAACGACCGTCTGCACAGACACAGACGGGAGCTCGGTTTAGCGTCTCATCTGAAGGACGGCACCTCCGAAAATGCTCAGAGTATGTGAGTTCCGATTCCCGATATGGGGCTTGAACCCCAAACCTTTTTCTGCTTCAGAGGCACGAGCGCTACCGACAGAGCCGGTCTGACACCGAAAACATCTGAGAGCTGAAGTCTTGACCTGCTCAGAGACACCGTATTAAATCCCCTTCCACCCCCGCCCTCGGCACACACACACTCACCCCCACCCTCAACCCCCTCCACCATCAATTACCTCTGGTTTTAACAGACACAGGAAGATGAAGATAAAGACGCCCTGGAAGCTGTTGACGATGGTGAATAAATAAGCCATGACCACCGTTCCCTTCTGGAAGTGAAACGCTCCCAGGATCCAGGTACAGCCCAGGACAAACACCTGCCCCACGGCTTTAAACGCCAGCATCCTGCCCAGGAACAAGACAACCGTCAGAGTAAGGCTCACACCAACAAATAACCGGCTCACTCACTGCACGGATGTTTGCACAGACATCGCTGGCTGCCACAGTCACCTACAAACACACAGTAACTGGGCTTTACACTGAACCCTGGAAGGGTTCTGGGATGTGAAAGGCGCTCTAACAACGGTAAGGAACATAATTATTGTTGTCCAACGGCTTAAATCGCCAGCATCCTGCAGGGAGGGAAGTAATACAGAGAGACGGGCCCTGCAAGCTCTCTGGGATGCAATGCAAGTTGTTGTTGTTGTTGGTATATCCCTGCTCCAGGCACGTAAACCTGACTGTAACGTAAAGACGGCCGACGTATATGTCACTTCTTCTTCACTGAGTTCATGTCACTTCCTCAAAAACTGGAAGCCAAAAAAGGGAGGGAAGGGGCGAAGGGAAGGGGCGAAGGGAAGGGGAATGGGAGGGGGAGAACAAGAGAACAAGATTCTCAGGATTTTCCTGTGAAGTGCAGTGACTGTATTTTGAGGCAAACATTAACAAGCGGCCAGACAGCAACACTGTGCAGGAGCTGAGAGTTGCTGTCCCTCACCTGGTGTTGATGTTTGGTAGTTCCATGCTCCGCATGGTGACCTTGTGCCTCAGGATACACAGCACCGTCACGTACAGAGCAAGGTTGATCTGTCGGGCAATAAGTTACTTGTCATTAAAATAATATAACATATATATGATATAATAATCCTTGCAATCGATACAGTACCTGATCATGTCTTCAAGACGCCTCAAAGCGCTTCACAGAATACACTGGAGAGTGAATTGACTGTATGTTTTGTGGGGAATCGTGGCAGACAATTGTGCAAAGCATTGCCCACAAACAGCCGTGGAGTGAGTGACCAATTTTTTTAATTTAAACGGCTTATTACCCCTGAAACTGATCCACCAACCAAATAACTAGCGGGTTCCTACTTCCTGCTGTGTAAACAGAGGCGAGTGCAGTAAGGAAAGTTGCCTAAGGTTTCATCCTGCCCGGGAATCAAACCCAGGTCCTCTCGCTTGCGAGGTGAATGCTCTAACCAATACACTACAGAACTCCATTATCATGTTGCCTATCACCCCAGTCCTCGGCAGGTTCCACTGTCTCTGTACAGGTGGACTTCATGGTCCTCCCCCTCACACCCAAGAACCTCCCTATCACTCTCTGACCTGCTCATAACCCGCTCCTCGCCCTCCAACAACCCCACCACCACCACCATATACTCAACTAACACAGGTCCATGTCCTTCATCACCACCATTGATGGCCAAGCCTTCAGCTACTATGTCCCTAATTCCTGGAATTCCTTCCCTCTACACCTCCCCCCATGAGCTCTGTCCTGCTCCACATCCCCTGCCCAGTATGCTCCATGTCCCCCACCTGGTCCACCCCACCATCAGCGGTCAGGCCTTCAGCCTCTCTGACTCCACCCTCTTGAACTCCATCCCACATTCCCTTTGTCTTGCTCCCTCCCGTGCCTCCTTCGAGGCATATCTCAAGACCCTCCTCTTCGAACCTGGCTTTGGTCACCCTCCTACCGCCATCCTCCCTGCCCTCCATGCCCATCCCCCAAATTCCGGACTGTCCAGCACGTTGGGACATTCCACCCATGTGAAAGGCACTGTGTAAATGTAATTTGTTGTCGTTAACCCTACTCCTATCTTTAAATCCCACCTAATCACCTTCCCCTTCAACTGGGCCACTGGTCATCTCTCCTTTTCCTTTGCAACTTAACTTTCAAACACACAGTCACTTGCAGTAAAAGTCTGTGAAGTGCTTTGAGCCGTTTTCCCAATGGGAAAGGTTCTGTATCAAATCTCGCTTACAATGTGTTGTAATGTATGATTCCAGGGCTGTGCTGTCATGATAGACTGACTGAGTTAGACCTTTCTTCACCAGAGAGGAGACACTTGAAGTAATCATAATGATAATAATAATAATCCTTAATAGCGGTGTTTAAAATTACAAACATTATAAAGCTTTGCATAATTAGGCTGTTTCCACTTGTGGCCGAACTGGTAACACGAGTGTAAGAGAGCAACGAGAGGATCTAAAAGAGAAATTAGGAGAAAAGACTTCATAACGAGGGCAGTGAGATTGAGAAACTCGATGCCTGAAGTGGTGAATGCATCACATAGTGTCGATGCATTGACAACAACTTACTTTTATATAGTGTACCTCATGAAGGGTAGAATCATACAACACAGAAGGAGACCATTCAGCCCATCGTGTCCAAATTAAATCCCACTCCTCCCCTCTCTCCCCAAAACTCTGCATATTTGTCCTCCCCAAATATCTATGGATAGCATCCCAGAGCGTTTATAAGGGGAAGCGAGACCTCCGCCTGAGGGAATAGAGGGTGTGGGAGGGGGTACGGAGGCTGTGTAAATGCTGGCACCGCTTGTTTGGAGCAAAAGGCCTGTTTCTCTGCCGGTCACTCAGTGTAAATCTATGTAATTTGTGGTAAAATATAAATGCTGTGAGAAGCCGTCCGGCCTGAAGGGTGACATGTAAATACAAGTTGTTGTTGCCGTCATCCATTGGACATCCACACTTTGACGTGTAGACCTCCCGATGTGGATCTTATCCGAAGGACGGCGCCTCCGACAATGAGTCCCAGTGCCCCCCCGGCACATCAATGGATCATCAGCTTAGACTGTGAGCTCAAAGGCTCAGTCAGAAGGCTGTGGCCTTGAACCCACAACCTTTTGACTGAGAGACGAGATCGCAAGCGATGTCGCAGCCAACAGATGGGCAATTGGCCTTCTTCTCCCAATGCTATACCGACACCTGCTGGTTAGTTTGGGTACTGCACCATGTATGTCATTCCATGAGTATTACCACAATGATCAGACAGATGGGACCCAGGAAACTCCATCTCAATCCATATTTTTCACTGAGCCAGCAGCTGGAAATCAACCACACAACACAACAGTGAGCAGGGATGTTTAGGGTGAGACGGTAGGTGTCAGCCTGGCTCAGTGGCTCGCGCTCTCTCGTGCCTCTCAGTCAAAAAAAATTGTGGTTTCAAGGCCCAACGTCAAGACTTCGAACTTACAGTGTCGGCCAGAGCTCCAGTGCAGTGCTGGTGGGAGCAATGCATTGTCAGGGGCTCCATCCTTCGGATGAGACGTTAAAACAAGTTTCTCTCTCTCTCTCTCTCCCAGCGTCCCAGCAATGTCCCACAAACAGCCATGGAGTGAGTGACCAATTTTATTTGGGGACTGTTGGCCTGGACACAGGGAGAGAGAACCTCTTTTCCAATTGCCCCACAGGATCTTTAACATCCAAGTGAACAGAGCACTGACAGGAACTCGGATTAACATCTCATCTGATGGACGGCGCCTCTGACAATGCAACATCCCCCCAGTGCTGCACTGCAGAGTCACCTTAGGCTCTGTGATTCCAAGTCCCGATGTGGGTCCTGAACTCACAACCTCCTGACTCAGAGGCGCGAGCGTTACTGACTGAGCCCGGCCAGGCTGACACATAAATATTCAACAACCACAATTTGCCTTCAAACAGGGCAGCATCTTGGAGCACTTAATAGGTGCGGAACCTGACACCGAGGCGGGAGGTTGGGGGGGAGGTAACCGTAGGCGCGGTCGAAGAAGGTCCTCTTCAGGCACGGCCTGAATACGGGCAAAGACGGGGCGAGGCAGAGCGATTGAGGCAGAGAGTTCCAGAGGTTGAGGGGGTAGTGGCTTAAAGCACAGCTGTCAATGGTGGAATGGAGGGGGACGAGGGCAGTGCAGGAGGCCGGAGCCCGGCTGAGCAAAAGGAGCGGGTAGCGGAGTGAGGTGTGAGCAGGTGGGATGGGTAGGGAGGTGATTGGGTTTCAGTCGCATGTCGGGACTTGGAATCGCACGGCCTGAGCTGACACTGCTCCAATGCAGTGCTGGGGCGGGGGGGGGGGGGGGGGGGGCGCATTGTCAGAGGTGTCGGAATCCGGATGAGACGTCAGAATGGGGTGGGAAGGGTAAGGATCTGCTGTGTGACAGAGGCCCAGCGAGGCCTGGCAAGGGGTGGGGCGATGTGTGTGTGTTTGTATAAGTGTGTGTATAAGTGTGTGTATGAGTGTGTGTGTAGGTGAGTGCGTGTGCACATGTGAGTGTACACATGTGTGTGAGCGTGAGTGCGTGTGTGAGTGTGCGCAACCCAGTGGCGTGTGAGCATTAACACGTGAAGCAGAAAACGCCAGGAATGGCTCAGCGAGGACGGTACTCACTGCTTGTGGGTGCCATAGCCCTCGTAACCCACAGCGACAGACACAGCCACCAGCAGAGCTGGGACTCCGTAGCCCAGAGCGTACATGCAGCCTCGGAAGTGCGGAGTGGGTTGTTGCAGTTTCTGGATGTCCCGAGCCATCAGGCACAGCTGTACACCTTCCAGGAACATCCAGGCAAATGCCACCAGGAACCAGTAATGGAGCAGACCAGCGACAATCCCACACACAATCTGAAATCAACACAGCAACGCCGTTAAACACAAGCCCACGGGGTCTCATATCTACAGGGATTGTAGCAGAGCAGTTCGTGCACTCGCCTGGCAAGCGAGAGGACCCGGGTTCAATTCCCGGGCAGTCCAAAACCTTTGTCAAGTCTCCTTACTCCATACGCCTCTGTTTATCTCGCTGTAAATAGTAACCCAGGTGTAATTCCCGGGGGTAATAATAAAGCACTTCATCACATCATTGAGACGTCTCAAAGCGCTTCACAGAATATACTGTGAAGTGAATTGGCTGTGTATTTTTGAGGGGAAACATGACAGCCAATTGCCACAGCAGTGTCCCACAGACAGTCGTGGATTTAGTGATCAAACTTTTTATTTTGTGTTTATTTTGAAGGAATTATTACGTCCAGAAAAGCTATCCGCCAATCAACTTACAATCAACTTACTGCGACGTAAACAGAGGAGTGTGTGAGCCGTAAGGAAATTTGCCTGAGGCTTCTCCCCGCTCCAGGAATCGAACCCTGTCCTCTGACTTGTGAGGTGAGAGCGCGAAGCACTACACTGGAGGACTCCTTGTTGTGGTTGTCTTACCCGGTTGTTGGTTTGGTTGATGCCAACGAGGAAGATGAAGAGAGCCAGGAACAGGCTGAGGCACAGCTGAATGTTGGTGACGGTCAGTGAGTTTTTGGCCTTGGCCCAGAAGGTGAACATGCCGATGCTGATGGCCAGACACACCAGGGAAGCGATAATCCCCACGTAACTGATGATAATCAGAGCAAAGGGAGGATCCTGTAAACAGTTACAACAATCATGTGAGTTTCACTCACAAAATTACATCCAATCAGTTTGTGTGTGTCAGCCGCGCTCAGTCGGTAATGCTCTCACCTCGGCTCAGGCGGTTAGAGGTTTGGGACTTGGAACTCATATAGTTTCACTTAGAAACCACACTGCAGTATATGTCCTTGAACCACGTTGGCACATCTCAATGACGTGATAAGGCAGTGTATCAAATGGAAGCATTTATTATTATTCTGACTCGGAGGCGTCATTGCTGTGACTGAGCCAGGCTGACAGACACGGGGTTTCACATACACAGGGCTTTGAAGGTGGAAGGTTGATAGAGCTGTTAAAAAAAACATATGGGATCCTTGGCTTTATAAATTAAAGGCATAGAGTACAAAAACAAGGAAGTTCTGCTAAACCTTCATAAGTCACTGGTTAGGCCTCAGCTGGAGTATTGTGTCCAATTCAGGGCTATTGACTGAGCCAGTCTGACACTCACCAAATGATTAGATCTAACACTCTAAATTAAGGATATCAAGGCCTTGGTGGCAGAGGAGATTTCCTAGAATGGTACCAGGGATGAGGGACTTCAGTTATGTGGAGAGACGAGAGAAGCTGGAATTGTTCTTGGAGCAGAGAAGGTTAAGGGATGATTTAATAGAGGTGTTCAAAATTATGAGGGGTTTTGAGTGAGTAGATAGGGAGAAGCTATATTCTCTGGTCTGTGGGTCAGTAACCAGGACCCAAAGATTTAAGATAATTGGCAAAAGAACCAGAGGGGAGATGGGGAGAATTTTTTTTCACAGAGATTTGTTATAATCTGGAATGCACTGCCTGAAAGGGAGGTGGAAAGAGATTCAATAACAACTTTCAACAGGGAATTGGATAGGAAAAATTTACCAGGAAAGAGCGAGTCAATGGGACTGATTGGGAAGCTCCTCCAAAGAGCTGGCACAGGCACGATGGGCCAAATGGCCTCCTTCTGTCCTCTAATATTTTATGATTTTATGATGTTGAAAGAGCTTCATAGAATCATAGAATCTGTGCCCAATTGGTTGCTGCATTTTGCCCACAAAATATACATTCATTTAACTATACAGTGTACACTGTGAAGACGTCTCGAAGGTGTGATGAGGCGCGATACCAAATGCAAGGAGTATGATTGATACCGTGTCATGATGAGCCATGATCAAAGCGAAGGATCTCAGGTGATGATGGTCACATTCACACTTTATGTGAGTTTCGGTCTGTTCTCTCAGTTCACATTCCTTATGGGACCAGTACCCACTGTTCTCTAAGAACCTCCAGACAACACAGAACATTTTTAGTTCGCTTTCATTCTTCTGTGGAGAAAAAAGGTTCCCCGTTACATTCTTCAAGTCTCAGCACATCATCGACATCAACAACATCATCATCAACAATGACCACATCAACAACAACAACAACATCAACAACACATTGTGTTTACACAGCGCCTTTCATATAAGGAGGTCCCAAGGCGCTGGACAGTCAGGGATGCACAACCAAGCTGGTGGTGGGATCAGGAGGGGTGGAGGGCAGGGACTGTAGGGGTAGCAAGATGAAGAGCAGGGTTTTGAGAAAGCTCTTGAATGAGCCAAGGGTGGGGGGTGGAACTCCAGAGGGTTGGTGTGGAGAGGCTGAAGGCCCACCTGCAATGGTTGGGCAGGCAAGTTGGGGGACGTGCAGCAGGCCAGAGACCGTTGAACAGAGAGAGTGGACAGGTTGGCAGGGGGTTACGAGGTCACAGAGGTAGGGGGGGGAGCGAGGCCGTGGGGGGTTGTGAAGGTGAGGACCAGCATCTTGAACTGTATCCTCTGAGTGATGGGGGGCCAGTGGAGCCGGATGAGCGGGTGGGAGGGAGTGATAGGTTTTCAGAGCCTTGTGCGGGAGAGGACATGGGCTGCAGAGTTCTGTATGATCTGCAGCTTGTAAAGGGAGGAGTTGGGGAGGCCGGCAAGCAGGGATCTTGTGTCATTGAGCCGGATGTTGTGACTGCATGGATGAGGGTCTCGGTGTTCTGTGGTGTGAGACCGTGGCAGAGCCGGGCGATATTGCAGTGGTGGGGAAAGGCAGAGCAGGTCATGGTATGTATGTGGGGTATGAATGATGGTTGAGAGTTGAACAGAATGCCGAGGTTCCATATTGGCTCCTTGAAGTGTAGAGTGCATCCATGGAGGGAGATGCTGTCAGCGCCCGAGGTGAGGAGGCGCTGACGGGAGCCAAGCAGGAGAGCCTCGGTCTTGTTGACATTCAGCTGCAGGAAGTTAGTTCTTATCCAGTTCTTGATGTCCAACAGGCAGTTTGTGAAGACAGCAGTGGACCTGGAGGTGGAGTTGTAGAGGTACATGTCTAAGGTGGACAAGTAGTGCTGTCAATGGCAAGCTCTGTGGTTTGAATTGGATAGACTCCAGCAGTTACCCCAACGCACACCCTGGGGTCTCCAAGCCTGCGCTCGTGCCTAATGCTTTCCTGAATAAACCAGATGGGTCTCTCCAGGTAGAGAGAGCGCATTCCATTCCAGGAATCAACGGTGATGGGTGTCTGCACAGTTCAGACACCTGACAATGGTAAATTGATTAAATGGTTCTTATTG